AATCTGTATTGATAAAGCCACTGGATGGCGAAACGTCTACTACAATAAAGATATCCAGATGTTGCACATGTGTCTTAACTTTCATATTGTCGGTATTTTATACCTTTCTTGCACAACTTGTCAGACACTGCAACATCATGGAATCTTGGTTCAGAGGACATCTACAAGACCTTCTTCACGGCTGCTGCAACTAACCCATCTCTTTGGGAAGGACCTACTTCCACTGGGGAATCCCGCCTACCAGTGACTGCCCTCGTCTGCTGCCCGTCCCATTCACTGACGCCTATAAAAAGCGCCAGTCTTCTTGCCTTTGCTCCAGACTCTCCTCCACCACGATGCTGTGAACACTAACTCCAAGGCCGAGGGACTGATTACCTCATCTTTTGTATATAGTTCTACTGTCTTCCTATTATGTCCTAGAATCTGTATTGATAAAGCCACTGGATGGCGAAACGTCTACTACAATAAAGATATCCAGATGTTGCACATGTGTCTTAACTTTCATATTGTCGGTATTTTATACCTTTCTTGCACAACTTGTCAGACACTGCAACATCATGGAATCTTGGTTCAGAGGACATCTACAAGACCTTCTTCACGGCTGCTGCAACTAACCCATCTCTTTGGGAAGGACCTACTTCCACTGGGGAATCCCGCCTACCAGTGACTGCCCTCGTCTGCTGCCCGTCCCATTCACTGACGCCTATAAAAAGCGCCAGTCTTCTTGCCTTTGCTCCAGACTCTCCTCCACCACGATGCTGTGAACACTAACTCCAAGGCCGAGGGACTGATTACCTCATCTTTTGTATATAGTTCTACTGTCTTCCTATTATGTCCTAGAATCTGTATTGATAAAGCCACTGGATGGCGAAACGTCTACTACAATAAAGATATCCAGATGTTGCACATGTGTCTTAACTTTCATATTGTCGGTATTTTATACCTTTCTTGCACAACTTGTCAGACACTGCAACATCATGGAATCTTGGTTCAGAGGACATCTACAAGACCTTCACGGCTGCTGCAACTAACCCATCTCTTTGGGAAGGACCTACTTCCACTGGGGAATCCCGCCTACCAGTGACTGCCCTCGTCTGCTGCCCGTCCCATTCACTGACGCCTATAAAAAGCGCCAGTCTTCTTGCCTTTGCTCCAGACTCTCCTCCACCACGATGCTGTGAACACTAACTCCAAGGCCGAGGGACTGATTACCTCATCTTTTGTATATAGTTCTACTGTCTTCCTATTATGTCCTAGAATCTGTATTGATAAAGCCACTGGATGGCGAAACGTCTACTACAATAAAGATATCCAGATGTTGCACATGTGTCTTAACTTTCATATTGTCGGTATTTTATACCTTTCTTGCACAACTTGTCAGACACTGCAACATCATGAGAATCTTGGTTCAGAGGACATCTACAAGACCTTTCACGGCTGCTGCAACTAACCCATCTCTTTGGGAAGGACCTACTTCCACTGGGGAATCCGCCTACCAGTGACTGCCCTCGTCTGCTGCCCGTCCCATTCACTGACGCCTATAAAAAGCGCCAGTCTTCTTGCCTTTGCTCCAGACTCTCCTCCACCACGATGCTGTGAACACTAACTCCAAGGCCGAGGGACTGATTACCTCATCTTTTGTATATAGTTCTACTGTCTTCCTATTATGTCCTAGAATCTGTATTGATAAAGCCACTGGATGGCGAAACATCTACTACAATAAAGATATCCAGATGTTGCACATGTGTCTTAACTTTCATATTGTCGGTATTTTATACCTTTCTTGCACAACTTGTCAGACACTGCAACATCATGGAATCTTGGTTCAGAGGACATCTACAAGACCTTCTTCACGGCTGCTGCAACTAACCCATCTCTTTGGGAAGGACCTACTTCCACTGGGGAATCCCGCCTACCAGTGACTGCCCTCGTCTGCTGCCCGTCCCATTCACTGACGCCTATAAAAAGCGCCAGTCTTCTTGCCTTTGCTCCAGACTCTCCTCCACCACGATGCTGTGAACACTAACTCCAAGGCCGAGGGACTGATTACCTCATCTTTTGTATATAGTTCTACTGTCTTCCTATTATGTCCTAGAATCTGTATTGATAAAGCCACTGGATGGCGAAACGTCTACTACAATAAAGATATCCAGATGTTGCACATGTGTCTTAACTTTCATGTTGCATATGTGTCTTACCTAACAACCTGTCGGTATTTTATACCATTTTAATATGTACAAGAGCTGTCAGTCAGGTGTCTAGTCATACACACTCATACCGACAGTATCGTATACAAATCTCGAATCCACGATATATATGTATATATATATATATATATATATATATATATATAATATATATATATATATATATATATATATATCCTCATCCTCAGAGAAGACAATAAACGTACCTCAGGGAAAACTCAAGGTTCTCCCCGGAGCTGTTTGAATATTTTCTTCTCCTACCACCTCCTATACTTTATATTCTATGTGAACATTTACTAATAAACAGAATACATTTACAGAAAACACAAACATGAATACAATGGTACAATGTATTAAAGATCATGAATTTCCTCCAGCTCCTGCGAGGCTGGACGTGAGCCAAGTATGCAGCAAGCATTTCCCCTCTGGATGGCGACGTTGAGGCGCTGGAACATGAAAGTGGCTGCCCTTGGCTCCCTGGTGGTGTCGATGAGTCTGGATCTCAGTTCTTTAAGGAAACGTGTGGCATTTTTTTCCCATAGTCCCAAGGTCTTTGATCCCACTGGGTTAAATTGATACTGTTGGCTTATGTCCCTGTACTTGCTGATCTTGTTCTCCTCCCTGTGGTCAGCAGCTCCTCCCTGTCGCCCCACACTGTGATGGATATAGGTGTCAGCCAGTGTGGACACACAGGTATAGTCCCATGCTAAGAGCTTGCCATTCTTCCAAGGATAGATGGTGATCCTGTCGGGGCGGTTTGCTGGGTTGTGGGTATTGTTGGCTGCTAGTGATCGGGGCTCCCTCTCGGCTGGGCATCCAGCTGTAGCAAAGGGTTCTCTTTATGATGTCGTTGACCTCATTGTGTCTTGCATGCCAGCCCTTGGTTTTTGAACAGTTAAGACCATGTGGACCGTATTGGTCTGCTTGCGCTTCGCCGCAAATACACATATATTCTGTGTGAATTGGGGTAGCAAGGTGCAGAGCCACTGCAATACGAAGGGTCTTAGGGTCGAGTCGCGTTCCCATTGCCGACATGGAAACTGTTTGGAGGAAGTCCCCGGAGTGAGTTGTGCTCACAGCCTGGAGATGGGCAGTCTCCCTATCTGATGTTGCAGCCCTGAGCATGTTGGCAAGCACCTTTTCAGTGACTGGGCCATCCCAGCTTGACAGTGAGCCAGTGTTGCACTAGGGTTTGGTGCTGGAGCAGCAAGAGTCTCCCATTCCGTGATGGCACTAGCATAGCTAGGGTCCTGTATTCCTGCTGAGTCGCTGAGGTGATCAGGAAGAATTTGTCTTATCAACTCGTTTGATGCTATGGAAGAGGATAGGAAAGCTGGTATACTCCCAGCCCCCAAGCCTGACCGGAAGTGAGGCTTGCAACCATTGTCCATCTTCAAGGGAAAGATGGGAAAGATGGAAAGCTGGGATGGCCCGATCGCTGAAAAGGTTCTTGCCAACATGCTCAGGGCTGCAACATCATATAGGGAGATTGCCCGTCTCCAGGCTGTGAGCGCACATCACTCCGGGGACTTCAGACAGTTTCCATATCGGCAATGGGAACGCGACTCGACCCTAAGACCCTTCGTATTGCAGTGGCTCTGCGCCTTGCTGCCCCAATTCACACAGAATATGTGTGTATTTGCGGCGAAGCACAAGCAGACAAATATGGTCTACATGGTCTTAACTGTTCCAAAACCAAGGGCTGGCATGCAAGACACAATGAGGACATCGTTAAGAGAACCCTTGCTACAGCTGGATGCCCGGCCGAGAGGGAGCCCCGATCACTAGCAGCCAACAATACCCACAACCCAGCAAACCGCCCCGACGGGATCACCATCTATCCTTGGAAGAATGGCAAGCTCTTAGCATGGAACTATACCTGTGTGTCCACACTGGCTGACACCTATATCCATCACAGTGTGGGGCGACAGGGAGGAGCTGCTGACCATAGGGAGGAGTACAAGATCAGCAAGTACAGGGACATAAGCCAACAGTATCAGTTTGTCCCAGTGGGATCAGAGACCTTGGGATCATGGGGAAAAAATGCCACACGTTTCCTTAAAGAACTGAGTTCCAGACTCATCGACACCACCAGGGACCCAAGGGCAGCCACTTTCATGTTCCAGCACCTCAGCGTGGCCATCCAGAGGGGAAATGCTTGCTGCATACTTGGCTCGCATCCAGCCTCGGAGGAGCTGGAGGAAATTCATGATCTTTAATACATTGTACCATTGTATTCATGTTTGTGTTTTCTGTAAATGTATTCTGTTTATTAATAAATGTTCACATAGAATATAAAATATAGGAGGTGGTAGGAGAAGAAAATATTCAAACAACTCCAGGGAGAACCTTGAGTTTTCCCTGAGGTACGTTTATTGTCTTCTCTGAGGATGAGGTGATAATATATATATATATATATAATATATATATATATATATATATATATATATATATATATATATATATAATATATTATATATATATATATATATATAGTGCTGAATAGGTAAAATTGGTCAATTATCAAGAACTCATTTAAAATTAAGTCCTTTCTAAATATTTCTCTTATAGGTTTAAAGATATATTTTTTTCATTTATGTTAATGTAAAAATTAATAATTATGTACAGATAAATGAACAACACCTGGGTGTCTTTATTGGCGAGCGAAACGTTTCGCCTACACCGCAGGCATTCGACTGAAGAAGCCTGCTCTGTGGGCGAAACGTTTAGATCACCAACAGAGACCCAGGTGTTGCACGTGTGACTTACACATCAACGTGACATGCAACTTACCCGTATGGAGTCATGGTTGGTCCGGGCGTGGGTGGGTTGTGCTGGGCTAGTAGTAGTTTGCTAGTAGTGGTGGTTTACTAGTAGTTTGCTAGTAGTAATGGGCTGGTAGCAGTTTGCTAGTGGTGGTGGACTAGTAGTAGTTTGCTAGTAGTAGTGGGCTAGTAGTGGTGGGCTAGTAGTAGTTTGCTAGTAGTGGGCTAGTAGTGGTGGGCTAGTAGTAGTTTGCTAGTAGTAGTGGGCTAGTAGTGGTGGGCTAGTAGTTTGCTAGTAGTAGTTTGCTAGTAGTGGGCTAGTAGTGGTGGGCTAGTAGTAGTTTGCTAGTAGTAGTGGGCTAGTAGTTTGCTAGTAGTGGCGGGCTAGTAGTATGCTAGTAGTGGTGGGCTAGTAGTATGCTAGTAGTGGCGGGCTAGTAGTATGCTAGTGGTGGTGGGCTAGTAGTATGCTAGTAGTGGCTGGCTAGTAGTATGCTAGTAGTGGTGGGCTAGTAGTTGGCTAGTAGTGGTGGGTTCCCATGTATACAATGTTCCACTATTGAAGCACTGTCAGCGTCGGTACAGCCGCTGTTCCACCTGCTGCTATGATCATTCCTCACAGCTGTCTCACAGCTGTCTGTCTCACAGCTGTCTCACAGCTCTCTGTCTCACAGCTCTCTGTCTCACAGCTCTGTCTCACAGCTGTCTCACAGCTCTCTGTCTCACAGCTCTCTGTCTCACAGCTCTCTGTCTCACAGCTCTGACTCACAGCTGTCTCACAGCTGTCTCACAGCTGTCTCACAGCTGTCTCACAGCTGTCTCACCGGTGGGACGATTAATTTTTCTGTTTTTTTTATGAAAATCTTGGGGTAATTAAAAATATATATGTAAACAACTGAAGAACATCAGACTGATCAATTGCTTCTCACTCAACACGTAACGAGGGTACAATGATTGGCTTGGCTTGTCTTGGCTAACTTGGCTTGTCTTGGCTTATCTTGGGTTAACCCGAAGAATCTTCAGTGTCTTGATAATAAGGAGTACAATGGAAATAAGCCAGACTAAAGACAGTGGCTTTGATGGGTTAAACTGGATTACTAACACCTCTGGAATAATCTGAATCAAATCCTCGACTTGTAAGGCTCCAGGAGTCGCGCCTCGCTGCGACTTCGTCTAGTGCTCCAGGAGTGCAGTGCGGTGCGACTTCGTCTAGTGCTCCAGGAGTGCAGTGCGGTGCGACTTCGTCTAGTGCTCCAGCAGTGCAGTGCGGTGCGACTTCGTCTAGTGCTCCAGGAGCGCGCTGCGCTGTGTCTTCGTCTAGTGCTCCAGAAATGTGCTCCGCTGCGACTTTGTCTATGGTTTCAGGAGTGCGCTGCACTGTGACTTCATCTAGTGCTCCACAAGTGCACTGCACTGCGTCTTCGTTCAGTGCGCCAGGAGCGCACTGCGCCGTGTCTTCGTCTAGTGCTCCTGGAATGTGCTCCACTGTGACTATGTTCAGTGCTCCAGGAGTGCGCTGCGCCGTGTGCGCTTCTCACTGACCAACCAACACCACTGTGGACTATGGCCGGGCTGGCACGAGTGTTAGTAATTTTCACTTTCCTTGGCTGCACTTTCCCTGCCTCTCTACCTGCTGCTGTTTGAGAGAGAGAGAGAGAGAGAGAGAGAGGAGAGAGAGAGAGAGAGAGAGAGAGAGAGAGAGGCGTATGCACCAGCACTTAGCTTGTAAATAAAGTCAAGAACCCTGTGTAAAAGAGAGAGGAAGAGAGATAACGACTGGATATTGCAGCCTTAATTAACGGTAGGTTATTGATCACCCGTTGCTTGCACTGTTAACGGCAACGCAAAATAAACACCGTTATAGAAGTTACAACATATATATATATATATATATATATATATATATATATATATATATATATATATATTATATATATATAATGAGGGGATGAGATGAAAAGCTGTAAGCCTTCTCCCTGAAAGCTGGCTGCCTTGGATCAAACGTGTAGCTCATGCTACACGCCAAGGTATTGGTCCAGTGTGGGTAGATTGGTAAAGCACTGCGTACCTTGTCCTAAGGTTCGTAGGTTCGATTCTCCTTCAGCCAGAGATCAGTGTTTGTGTATATTTCGCATGCTCTCGCGAATTCCTTGCATATATATATATATATATATATATATATATATATATATATATATATATATATATATATATATATATATATATATATATATATATATATATATATGCCTAGTATGTGTTAGGTTATATAGTATCTAGCCTAGCATATATAGCAGACCCCACGTATACCTACTAAGCAATACCACATCTTTGTAAGACTTGCTAGTATACCAGTTTGAGTGTCCTGACTAGCCAGCCGGCTGCCCCGACCCTCAGTTACACACGACTAGTGAGCACAGGACGACTTATCCCGAAGTCGTGTAGTGTAGACCTCTAATAATCGACAACACTTTACGACGCGAATTAGATACAGTTTACCGTGATAAGAGCTATCTGGTAGTGTACTAGGCGGATACACTGACTCATACAGGTACTCTCAGGTGACCACGACTTATCCTATCACCCTTCACGTGAGTATATTGAGTGGTCATTCTTGTACCTTGGGTCTACATGTGTGCAAGGGGTGTGGTCATTCTTGTACCTTGGGTCTACGTGTGTGCAAGGGGTGTGGTCACTTACCTCCACCAGAGATCTGCTGTGCAGCTGTCAGCACACACTGCCATGTGTGACAGAGGTACGTAAACTAATTCAGCTAACTAGGAACCGGGTGACAGGTTCCTAGTCTGGATTCCACACATGACTGGACACGGATTACTAACCTAACCAGTCAGAACCCACAGACGCCCTCTGTTCTGCACACGTAAGGGGTAACAGACCACGGCCTCCAGTAGACCGACCCTAGACCTGGCCGCGGGGAGCGTTGACCCATGTAAAACAAAGCCAGGTAACGGAATTTTATACTGTCAGCTCTCTTAAATTCAGTACAGAAATCATCCAAGATTGGCTAGCGAGTTGAAAGGTCTTTATTAAGTCTGCTAATCAATTCAGTCTTCGGGGGTCAGTGTAATTAAATAACAATACAGCGTAGTAATAATAATAACGTTTATTTCTACCAGTACTTGATATAACTTATACATACCATAGCTGACACCAATGACATACTATATAGAAAGTTCCTGGTTATGTAGAGTATTTCCTGCATCTTAGGTTAACTTTGTCCCCAGGATGCCACCCACACCAGTCACCTAACACCCAGGTACTGCTAGGTGAACATGGACAGCAGGTATAAGGTGACTAACACCTAAGCACCTATTTACTGCTAGATGAACAGGGACAGCAGGTGTAAGGTAACACTCAGGTACCTACTTGCTGCTAGGTAACCAGTGAGAGCAGGTATCTAAAGGAAACACGCCCAGATATTTCCACCCGTACCGGGAATCGAACCACGGACCTCAGTGAGTGAGCTGAGTGCGCTACCAACCCAGCAACAGGACACCGTAAATGATTTTCGGATGTCGGAAGTTTTCTCATGGATTTGGATGACAGAAACTAAACAAAGGCGAGAGAAATATCATCCACCTGGTTACGATAAATAGACCGGCCTGAATCCATATCCAGTGAGGCTTTCAACTAACGGCGAGTGAAAGTGGCTGTTAGAGCTGACAGTGGACAGTATGCTGATAGCTGCAAGGTATGGTAAAGACATATATTCTGAGAAACGTTTCGCCACAAATGACATCTTCAGTCCTAATACAGAGATATTTGATAAACGAGGATATATAGAGAAGGTGGTCAGTCCCTCAGCCTTGACAGTACCTGTATCTTGATAGGTGTTCAGTACCTAAGCCTTGATGGAAAGTGTTCAGTACCTGTGTCTTGGCAGCTGTTCAGTACCTGTGTCTTGATAGGTGCTGAGTACCTGTTTCTTGATATGTTCAGTACCTAAGCCTTGGTAGAAAGTGTTCAGTACCTGTGTCTTGACAGGTGTTCAGTACCTGTGTCCTGACAGATGTTCAGTACCTGTGTCTTGACAGGTGTTCGGTACGTGTGTCCTGATAGGTGTTCAGTACCTGTGTCTTGAAGGTGTCCAGTACCTGTGTTTTAACAGGTGTTGAGTACCTGTGTCTTGACAGGTGTTCAGTACCTGCGTCTTAACAGGTGTTGAGTACCTGTGTCTTAACAGGTGTTGAGTACCTACGTCTTAACAGGTGTTGAGTACCCGTGTCTTAACAGGTGTTGAGTACCTGCGTCTTAACAGGTGTTCAGTACCTATGTCGGTGTTACATGCAACTAAGTAATCCAGTGATCTATTTAATGACCAATCATAATCACCAATAATGTACAAAGTTGTTATATAACGTTTAAATTCTATTAATTCTAAGCAGTCATATTACAACCACTAAAATACTGCTGTCTAGAATTTAGATTTCAACCCCATTAAAACTATCAACTCCTTTCGACAGTCGGAATTATCAATTTCTGAGGAGAATGGTTGAAAATCAGAAGGTCTTTGAGGTTATCAGTCCCTCAGACTGCAATATATGTGAACACATCGACCGCAGGTGAGGGACTGATTACCTCAGAGACCTTCTGATCTTTAACCAGTCTTTTCTGTATTGGACTGATGAAGTCACTGTGTGGCGAAACGTTTCCTCAGTAAGATACCCAAGTGTTGCACGAGTGTTTAATTCATCAACCCGTCGGTTCTTTGAACCAGTTATCTACAGACCAGTTATCTACAGACCAATTATCTACAGACCAGTTATCTACAGACCAGTTATCTACAGACCAGTTATCTACAGACCAGTTATCTACAGACCAGTTATCTACAGACCAGTTATCTACAGACCAGTTATCTACAAACCAGTTACCTACAGACCAGTTATCTACAGACCAGTTATCTACAGACCAGTTATCTACAGACCAGTTATCTACAGACCAGTAATCTTCAAACCAGTTATCTACAGACCAGTTATCTACAGACCAGTTATCTTCAAACCAGTTATTTACAGACCAGTTATCTACAGACCAGTTATCTACAAACCAGTTATCTACAGACCAGTTATCTACAGACCAGTTATCTACAGACCAGTTATCTACAAACCAGTTATCTACAAACCAGTTATCTACAAACCACTTATCTACAGACCAGTTATCTACAGACCAGTTATCTACAGACCAGTTATCTACAGACCAGTTATCTACAAACCAGTTATCTACAGACCAGTTATCTACAGACCAGTTATCTACAAACCAGTTATCTACAGACCAGTTATCTACAGACCAGTTATCTACAGACCAGTTATCTACAAACCAGTTACCTACAAACCAGTTACCTACAGACCAGTTATCTACAGACCAGTTATCTACAGACCAGTTACCTACAAACCAGTTACCTACAGACCAGTTATCTACAGACCAGTTATCTACAGACCAGTTACCTACAGACCAGTTACCTACAGACCAGTTATCTACAGACCAGTTATCTACAGACCAGTTATCTACAGACCAGTTACCTACAAACCAGTTACCTACAGACCAGTTATCTACAGACCAGTTATCTACAGACCAGTTACCTACAACATCACCAGGAAATTTACTCCTGTCACTATCCCATAATTAACGTAGAATAAAAATATTAAGGGACCTAAAACTAACCCATGAGGAACGCCACTTGTCACTGGTCCCCATTCTTATTTCACCCCATTTATGCCAGCGCTCTGTTGCCTATTACGAACACCTTGATAAATGAGATGTATTTACTTCCGTGTGTTGCAACTTTCTACCTGGTGAAATTCTTATCAAAAGATTTACTGATGTCTAGGTTAACACTGCCGTCTCTACCTTGTTCACCGCCTTATATCTTATTAAAAGATTTACTGATGTCTAGGTTAACACTGCCGTCTCTACCTTGTTCACCGCCTTATATCTTATTAAAGACGGAAGCTAATTTAATGACCAGAGAGAGAGAGAGGGAGAAGGTAATTTAATGACCAGAGAGAGAGAGAGAAGGTAATTTAATGACCAGAGAGAGAGAGAGAGAGAAGGTAATTTAATGACCAGAGAGAGAGAGAGAGAAGGTAATTTAATGACCAGAGAGAGAGAGAGAAGGTAATTTAATGACCAGAGAGAGAGAGAGAAGGTAATTTAATGACCAGAGAGAGAGAGAGAGAGAAGGTAATTTAATGACCAGAGAGAGAGAGAGAGAAGGTAATTTAATGACCAGAGAGAGAGAGAGAGAGAAGGTAATTTAATGACCAGAGAGAGAGAGAGAAGGTAATTTAATGACCAGAGAGAGAGAGAGAGAGAGAAGGTAATTTAATGACCAGAGAGAGAGAGAGAAGGTAATTTAATGACCAGAGAGAGAGAGAGAAGGTAATTTAATGACCAGAGAGAGAGAGAGAAGGTAATTTAATGACCAGAGAGAGAGAGAGAGAAGGTAATTTAATGACCAGAGAGAGAGAGAGAGAAGGTAATTTAATGACCAGAGAGAGAGAGAGAGAGAAGGTAATTTAATGACCAGAGAG